AGAGAGAGAGAGAGAGAGAGAGAGAGAGAGAGAGAGAGAGAGAGAGAGAGAGAGAGAGAGAGAGAGAGCTCCTTGCTTTTACCTGGAAAGGCATTGACAGATACTAGTTGAACAGCGAATCAATTCGCAGATATCGGTTTGGTGACCGAGCACCTTTAACAAGTGTTAAACAGTTGTTGGCTGTCAGTACGGATGGCCATGCACTGTAAGGGAACTTTGGTCTGTGGTGGAACTTCCTGTTGGATTTGGATCTGTTTCGAACAGACTTTCGCACTCAAGAAACAGAATTGAACTCCAGATCCCGCAGGTTATCAGTTCTTGGACATTTGCATGAACAACTAGCGGATTGCTCGGGGTACAAACCACAAGTCGGAGTGAACTCTCATTTAGATGGACAACATGAACGCACACCATCAACGCGGTGATACAATACGGATGCTGGCTTGTGGACAAATCAATAACATAGATTCCAAACATTCACTCTTATCATCACAAACATCGATCCCCTCCTTGACATGAGCATGTATAGGACTATAAGACATTGGCATGAACATCGGAGATCGAAACACTTGCAAGGTCATCGGCGTGTTATTTCTTTGCATGCACAAGATACATAACATCCATTCAGAACATTTACTCTTGTCACCGCAATGTGGAGATGGAAACACTCGCAACTTGCATAGTCTTTTCCTAACATTGCACCTTCGTAGATGGAAACATCGCACGCAGAGTTGCGAGAAATGTTCAAATCACTGAACCGCACATTGCAAAGTAGACAGGGGTTGTTTCCGGAAAAACATTCGAAGCAAAAAATAAGTAGTAGACAGAGGTGCGAGAGGCAATAGTTGCAATAGGTGCGAGAGGCAACGTGTGATTGACTGCATATCCACCATTTCAAGGTGCACATGCACATGCACATGCACATCATGTTCCCAAAGAATGTATTTTAACATGTTTTCCTTTAAACACAAGGTCTCACCATACATCCGTATCTTGTGACATACGGGGTTTCTCGCGGACGAGGTCGTGAACCGAAATCATACATGGCATTCATCGATGATCCATATACGTGGCTCTGCGGTTCGTGGACAGTTGCAGTCTCCGAAAACATGGACATGTATTTCATCTTGACAAACCCTCCTCGTCGTGCTAAGGAATTCCCTATACAGTCTCGTATTACGGACACTTTCTCTTCCACCTCATAAAACAATTCTAAACATCTGACCTGACCTGCTCTCACAAAATCTGACCTCCCATCTACATCGGGGCGAGACATCACCGACTTGAATTTGTAATCCTGTTGTACCATCTCGTTTTGTGACACGAGCACAACTGCATCCACGAGTTTTCTTCTTTTGTCTGAAGAAGCCACACATAGCACTCTGGCGAAAGGACATCCGTCATCAGTCAACCGCACACAACAATATGATATAGCTTGTGGAGAAATCCCTAGGCAACGGGGTGGGTAGTGTTCCCAGAATGAACAATGACGAGCGCAGTCCACCAACTCTTGCTTCTGCGAACTTCCCCAAGTTTGTGGCGAAGATGTGATGTACTCGAAGTGGAGGCGACTTCTGAAGCTGGTACGGTAGCGGATCGGTTTACCCTTATCGTCCAGGGTCTTTCGCTGGAGGACACCATCAGGCAATGCAATGAGGCTCCCGAACTCTAACATGTTGGCAAACTTGTAATGGCTTGCCCAAGGGCAACCACTTTCCATCGCTTTCTAATTATCGTTTCATTCATCGAGATGCCGGTTCATGTACGAGACGACGGTCATTCATGGGTCCTCGTCGAAGTCCTCCTTGGCTGCTTCGTCGATCCACGTTTGACCGTCATGATGCCGCACCGATCTCGCACAAGGTGAAAACGGTTTTGCTAAGCGCACGTGCTTCTCGGGACTCAAGCGCATGTGCGTCTCGGGACTCATGCTGACGCTTGTCGAAGGTCTCGACGACATTACGCTCCCTACATATCACGGACACACAAACGACACATACGGATGTGTAGACCGTCGTAAATAAAGTTGGTCAATGATAAGTCCCCTGGTGCGGCCAACACTCAATCGTCATGCCCCGCACTATATATCGACAAGCTCCTCACTTAATCAAAGCGCGAGTGAACTCTCACTTAAGCAAAGTGCGAGTAAAGTCTCACTTAAGCAAAGTGCGAGTGAACTCTCACTTAAGTCTGACCACACGTCCAGATCTAGTGACATTCGGGGTTCCCTTGGGGATGAGGTCGTGTACCGAAGCCATACAAAGCATTCATTGATGATCCGTACACGCGGATCTGCGGTTCGTCGACTGATGCACTCTCTGAAAAGACAGACATGTATTTCATCCTAACAAACACTCGTGGTCGTGCTAAGGAATTCCCTATACAGTCCCGTATATCGGACACTTTCTCCTCGACCTCACGATGCAACGAAAAGTTTTGGACCCGCCCTACTATAACCAAATCGCGCCACCCATCCACACGTTCA